TCTTTCCCTGCTTTGCTCTGAGGCAGCAGCAAGAGCAGTTGTCAAGGGAGCAGGGACTCCATCCAAAGACATTCTGCATTTTTCAGTTCTCCATATCTAAGGGTTTGTTTCCTTTAGAAAACTCTCAAAGACCAAACCATCTCTGTGTATAAATGTGGGGAATTTTTAACAATATCTTAAAAGCCTGCTTTTCCATTTTTTGCTGCTGAAATGCTAATGTCTTCTGGGTTATGCTGAAAATGAGTGCCTGCTGCTCCCGTGGATGGGAACTGGTGGGGTTCCTGCAGTCCTTGCTCCCTGCCCAGGGCCGTGCCAGGCATGGTGACTGCTGCCACACTGCCTGTGTGGAGCCTGTGGGCGGTCAGCCTGGTCACAGTGACAGTTCACGCCTGCAGGGACATCAGTGCTCACCACATGCAATTACCCCTCCATAGCTTCGTCCTTCCTTTTTGGGGAGATACCAAACCTCCCTTCCTGCCCTAGAGACAAACCACCTGCGAGTGGTGGCGAGCGGAGGTGCAAGCTTGCTGCTAGCAAGTGCAACCTCACGGCCCGGAGGACCTGGAGCTGGTCCTGCTTAAACCTCTTCTCTCCTCAATTCCCACTCCAGCCTCGGAGATGTAGGCATCCCTTTGAAATACCACAGTTTCAAGGTGCTTTCAGCAACCCCACGAGGGACTCCACGAGTGTGTGGCACATGTAAAGTTATTACCTCCTGCCCTCCTCCTCCTCCCAACAAGAGACAAGTCAGCACCTGGGGCAGCAACACGATCATTTTAACAAGAAGCCAGTTTGCAGAGGGCACACAGAATAGTGTCTCACCAGTTCACCGAGCCCTTAGCAAGAATACAGCTGGTGTGGTCCGTGGCTGGAGCGCGGGAGCAACCTCCTTGCTGTGTGGTTCAGGGAAAAGCTCTGGCTCCTCTGGAAGGAGCACAGTAATGAAAATTCAGCTCTACCCCTTCGGTCTGCGGCTGCCTGACCTCGTGCTCTGCAAGAGCAAACCTCTGAGCAAAAACCTCGCTCTCTCTCACCCTCTCTCTTACTCATTCTTTCTTATTTTGCCTTTTCATCATCATCTTGGGATTCTTTTCATTGCTTTGTTTTGTGGCTTTTTTTTCAATAATGTTTTGAACACAAATTAGTGAAGCAATAGCATCCTCTGGAAAGGGCATTATCAAGAATTATGGACCAGTTTGGCCATGCAATGGCCCTGAGGCAAAGCCAAATTGCCAAACCAGGTTTTAAACCCATAATCCAGGCAATGACCTGTCTAGAGGGTCTTGTGAATGTTATATGCTTGTGATGAGCCAAGGGTTGCTTTTTAGTGGGACATAAAATTCTCTGAATGCTTTATTTAACTTTACTGCATTGGATGTTTCTGACTGCCTCTCTCCACTTTTCCTCTGCGAACAATTTCTAAAAGCAATGAGTAGCTCAGGCTCTGTTTTTTCTTTTTCATTTCTTCTCTCTCACTGAGCTGGTTGCAGAGGTGCACATATCCAAAAAGCCGTAGGAGTATCCGTGCTGATAGGCAGAGATCTGGCACCCTCAGAAATTTCTCTTTCAATCCATTTCTGTGAGTGACCCTTGTGTACGAAGCCTTTGACCATGCAGCTTGTTTGTTTTGATGCCATTGCTTCTCTCAGTGTCCCCTTTTGGCAGGAGACACATGAATTCCAGCCTTGCATTACTGTGCTGGCACCTCACAGCTTTGTGCTGAAGTACCAGCCTGTCCCTTCCCTGTCAGAGCCAGGGTTTAAAAAAATTAGTAATTAAAAACATGGGTAATTTGCTTAGATAATTACCCCAAACTCAGGATGCTGTTAAAGGTACAAACTCTGCATCTATGCAGCTTCACGTGCACACAGAAAATCTGGACGTGCAAGCTGCTGGGCAGTGGAAGGCTGTGATAATGTGTGGTTGAATGCGGTGGGGTTGTAGACAAGGGAATCTATAGCAATTTGGCATGGGTAGCAAGAAGTTGCCTCTCCACAGGACAAAGATAAAACTCCCATCTTTGATGTTTCCTTGTTTGATGTCTGAGTTGTATATAGCGTGTCAGTAATAAAAGATCAAAGATCTCCCAGGTAAGGATGAGGTGCAGCACTAGATGTACAAACTACTCGCACTACTTTGGGTTAGCGCCTTGGTGCAAAATGGTTGAAAAAGCGGATTGAGGGGCAAAGTTTCAGGCAATGGAGGTGGGGTGCTGCCTCATGGTTTATTCAACAGGTATAAAATCACACCAGTGGGAGGAGAATCTGCCCCACCATTGTCAGAAATGGGTACTTTCTCTCCATTGGTGAGAGCCCATGGGAAATAAGCAGCCAGTTCTGCGTGTTTGCCATGATGGGAATTTTGTCCCAGGATATTTCAGTGCAGGTATGTACTTTACTGGAGTTAGATGGGCTTTAATCCACAGGGCTGTGTCCAGGCTTGTTGCTAGCAATGCACTGCAGTAAGAGCCAGGAACTACAGATTCCTGTTGTCTCTGTGCAAACACCACTGCAGTGGTGCTAATTGCCACCACCTTGAAGCCTTCAGGTGTCAGCTTCTAACTCACAGCACAGGAATTTGTTATGTTAATTATTGCTTGCCAGCCAGAAAGGCACCTGCATGTCTACTCCAGCTCTCCTGGAGTTCTGCACTGCGGTCGCTCTTGCCCTCTGTGCACTTATTTGGAAGAAAATCGTTTGACTCCTATGCAGAAGAAAGAGATTGGTGTCAGAAAGGCTGGAGTAGTATTCCCGCGGATCCTTATCTTTGGAGGCAGTAAACCAGAAAGTGTACTTTTGTATGGTCCTAAGGGGACCGCAGCGGAAAAGCAAAGGAATTTCTGCTTGAACATGGTAGAGGGGAAGGGGAGGAGATATAGCTGTTTTTCAATATGTTTTATTTTATGGCGTTACTTCTCTTACAAACATGTGACCTGCAAACCCAGCGGGCTGATGAAGACAAGCCATGAATCATTTATGATCGTTTCATTCTGTATTTGTTAAGGGATTTCTTGGTAGTATTGTGCGCCTTAATTGCACGGACATCCCCCACTCAGAAAATCGGGAGGGCGAGTTGGAAAATAAGAAAAAAAAATCCCTAAATCTGTGACTGGCAGACAAAGCTTCTTTTCACATCCTGTGCTTGCTGGAGAGATCAAAGAAAAATGCAGTCATTTCACCCTCCTTCTGATCACATATTGATAAAGTTTATCTCGCCTGACTTCAGCTTTTAGCTCAACACAAATCCCTCTGAACCAGATGTCATTTATTAGCCCTGTAGCACACTTCAGTCCAGCAGTGTCTGTGCTGCCAAGCTGTGATAGTTCAGCTCTTGGTGAGCCGTAGCACCCATGGTGGGTGGCTCCTTCCCGGGATTCAGGGTGCTGGAAGCAAGCACTGAACCTGCAGTCAAAAACAGGGCTGCCGATTTACCTGCTTTTAAGGTACTGCAGTTTAATTGCAACAGCCAAGAGAATGGAGGTAAATAAGAAAGTAATTAGAACCATAATTTGGGGATCTTCCTTGTCGCAGGGGCACAGATCGTTTCTTTATTCTCCTCCAAAGGGGTATAACTTGGTAATAATTTTATTGCAGTGACATTTATGGGAGAGACTTGAAAGGAGCAGAAGAAAAGAAACAAGCCAAGAGACAGCTTTGCCTTGCTGGTAGCATGCATCAGAGCTGATGTACTTCTGAAATCCTTTCCAAACCCCCCTCAAATAAGCACTTAGGAGTTACTTAATTGACCGTTAGAGGATTGAGAGTTGTTGTTGGCAAGCCCTCATTACAGAGGGCAGGTGGTGGGGACTGTGGCCCTTGCTTCCCCTGAACCCCTGTGCTCCTCCGCAGAACCTCAGTGGCTGTTCGTGCCTCACCTCGGTCCCTCCTGAAAATGCCACCGTCGTTCCCGGCAAATGCCCCAGTCCCGGCTGCGAAGAGGCCTTCTTGACATTCCTCTGCGTGATGTGCGTTTGCAGCATGATTGGGGCCATGGCGCAGACGCCGTCAGTCATCATACTCATCAGGTAGGACCGCTGCCGGGAGGATGCGATGAGCTCGCTGGGGGCTGCTCTTGGGGTGGGAGCAGAGCTGGGGGGACGGCTGGGTACTGCTGGGAGCTGCGGGGAGCCGAGGGTCCTGCACAGCTCCTGGCCTTTTTGGTCCCCATATCAACGACTTTGTCTTAAGCGGAGGTTCAGTGCATCAGAAAATCCTCCTTTGACTAAGCACTCCCTGGTGGAGACACCTTGAAAGAACTGCCCATATTTTCAAAAGATTTTGAACTCCTCAGCAAATGAGGAGCTATGGACTTTCTCGTACTGCCTTTACACGCAGGCAGGAGTTGGGGATGTGAAAGCCCAAGCAGTCCTGCCTGAATTTCAGCCCCATGGTTTCAAGTGTTAATTAAATAATTTTCTCTCTAAGCCAATATTTCACTTGGTAGCACCTGGTTTGTCCATGGCATGACCCCAATGAGTTCAGTGCCTACAGTACTGGCCTGCTAGAAAGACTATGGGAATTGCTCGAGTACAGCTTTGGTAAAATGGGAGCGAGGAGGGACTGGGCTTGCAAACAGAGAAGATCCCTGCAGGGATGCTGCAAAGAAAGGTGGCAGGCTTGTTCTTACCAAGGCTGGGATTAGCATGGGAAGGGATATATGGATGTGCAGGTTCCAGTCCAGGCAGTAAGGTCATTACCACTGCATCTGGAAAGGGCCAGAATTGCAGCCCCATGTTCTCAGAATGTAATGCCTTAATAAGATGCCTTTAGAGATGGCCTGGAAATCTTAGAAACCAAGGAAAAATGAAAGGCTGCAGCAAAAGCTAGCTTTGGTTAATAACCCCCTGGCTAGAGTTTAACTTCTCTCACCCTGGACCAAGTCCAAGAACAGAAGGAACTTGAAAGTCTGAAGGACATCTCTGAGTTGAGCCAATATGAATAGGTGGGCAAAAGTAGCTTATTCAAATAACTGACCTTGTGTTATTTCCAGACACATGGAACACTTCACCTTATGTTATACGTATATATCGAAGCCCACGTTTATCCAGAATTACTTATCTGTCCGGGCTGTCACTTACTGAGAATAATAACCAGAGGCATAAATAGCAGATCCATTCTGCTGCCTGGAAAATTCCAATAAAATTCAATCAATAAGGTCTGTATTAGAAACACACTCTTGAGTGGATCTTGGACAGAACAGCTCTGTGAGGGCATGTCTCCCTGCAGGATACAAAATGAGATATTCCACCTACTAGTTCGTTTCTCTCTTTGCATCTACAATAGCTAAAGGGAAATCAAATTTCTCATGATAAATATTGTGGCAAAAGTAATTTGAAGTTTGAAGAGTTCTTTGTTCAAGGGAGCTGCCAGCACCTGTAGGATCCTGAGTGGAGACATCTTTGTGTCGACTTCAAATGAGATAAGCCAGTCACCAGCTAGAAAGAATACAAGGAAATAAGAAAAGCGAAGGGAATATTAAAAATATTCAGCTCGCAGCTGTAGGAAATAAACAATTCACATATCCAAATTAGTAACTACACTCCCCTCAGAATCACTGGTAGCTACTGAAATGTACGGGGAAGAGCTGTTCACCATATACCACCTCATGCTCTCTTGCAACTGTCGTCCTGGATTGCTAAAAGAAAGTTTTGGCATATGAGTGTGTCCCTGGTGTCTGTGGCGGTGACAAGTGGCATCGACAGCTCCTACGGTTAATTTAAAAAAGAACTTCAGTGTCTACAAATGACATGTCTTTTCTAGGCAAGTCATTTGTTCACTGCTCTAGTCAGTGAGAAAAGGAGATGTCTCCAGGTGGCAACTTTTACTCCGCCCTAAGGTGTGGGGATTGACTTTGGTCTTAAATACAAAAAAGTGGACAGAAGGACACTACCACCGATTGAAAACCCACTGTGAATATTTCACATAATAATCTATTTTTTCCATAAAATAATACTCCTTCTGTTTCCTTCATTTCCCACCCAACTGTAGAATCCTATTTGAGCCAAGCCATTAACCACTGGAACATTTTTCCAAGGGTAGATACTTCCTGGCATAAAGGCTTTATATTGAGCCTGCGGGTCTGCCTAAAAACTCTGCTGAAATTCATCCAGAGGTCACAGGCTTCATGCAGGAGTCACGGCATGGTGTTACGTGGCCCGTGTAATGTGTGAGATGAGGGCAGGTGATCAGAATCGTCTTCTCTTAACTTAAAACCTATTGCTGTTTCTGGCTGTTTTATTGTTATTGTCTGATGCCCCTCCAATGTATTTATACCGAGGACCACCACTGCCACCATGGATGCCACTAGCAGTGCTGCATGCAGACCTCTGTAAGGAGCTAATGGAAGAGGCAGCTGAGGCCTTTAAAGTTCTCCTGTGTGATGGATCTATTCATATGGGGATCACTGTCCTGCTTTCCCAGCCTTTAGATACTGTGGGAAATAAAATGCTATTATAAGACTTAAGACCAAATTAATGATTTCTGAAATGCCAAAGACTTTGCTGAGCCTACCCCAAGAGGATGACTTTAGCCAGTAGCATCCTTGAGCTAAGTGAATTAGAAAGCTATGAATTATTTTTTAAAGCACCTTTGAAGGATAACACTAATGCAATAGAGTGGGTTGTGTTTGTAGAAAAAAGCAGTGCAACCGTTGTCTTCCCAGCATAAAAAAAATTTGCATGCTAAATTCGCGCCCATGAAAACTGGTCTTGAGCACTTCCTCACTGGGAGGCTTGATTTAACAGGCTGACCGAACCTTTTGGTCTGTCATCCTCCTTCCCTCTTTTGTTCCCAGTAGTCTGGGAAGTTTTAGAACAAAAAGTTTTCCCTCTTTCCAATTCTCAGTATCTGGAGCCTTGAAAGCATGATGGGGAGCTTGTAAATGATGATTTACTGGGATGGGAATTTCATTTTTCCCCATCCGACGACACGATTAGCTGTTGTTATTAATGACTTAGCTAAATTCCTGAACCTATCACCAATGCAATTACTTTTGGGGCTGTAGGCAGTTCAGGCGAAGGGAGAAGAAAAACCCCGTTAATGACTTTTGAAGAGGTGGTGGTGGCATCCTGGCTGACAGCACAGAATGGCCACAGGGTGTGTTAATCAAAGCAGAACAACAAGAATCGATTTCTCTCTCTCCCTCCCTCCTCCCTACAGAACCGTGAGCCCCGAACTCAAGTCTTACGCTTTGGGGGTGCTTTTCCTGCTTCTCCGTTTGCTAGGTAGGTACAAAAATTTCATGTCCTTCTCTCCCATCCTTTCCTCAATCACAGAAAACTGTATTTTTAACATGCAAAAGTTGATTTCTACTCCATGTAGTGCTGTGCTTGTCATGAGTGGGGTCTGACACAACAGGGGCCGAGCCCTCTCTATGAAGGATATCACATCAAGGCTCCTGAAGGCACTTCTCCTGCCATTTGAATTGTGCTAATGGAAGAAAATGCAGTGTTGCATGAGAAATGACCGTTTCTGCCATGGTCCCACGCAGCCAGTTACTCTTTTGTAGCTGTTATTAACATGTTCACAGCTTGCAAAATGACTGCTGTACTGCATATTGCTGAAGTAGAGGGATACGTATTTTCATCCTCCTTGGAGGGACAGGACCTGTGTTACGTGGTGTGCTTGTTCCTTCCTTCGGGTCTTTCGGAAAGAGAAACAGTGAAATGAGGCAGGCTAAGTCCTTGTATCCTCCCGTGGGTTAATATCCCATTAAAATGCGTATGGGTGTTCCTCTGGACCGGTATGTGCTTCTCATGTATGAATTAAAAAAAGACACTGGGCTGTCATTCGCCTGCTTCTTGTTTCTGGGTGGAGGGTTTTTTCCCTTTTTGAAGAGATAGCTCTTATTTTAAAGCTCCTATATTTCAGCTCATTAATCTCAATGATTCAGGGCAAAATCCTCTCTGATCCATCATTGTGTGGGTCCATCTCATGCACGGGGTTTCTGCGTGTTGTGGGGGTGGAATTTATTTTTTCTTAGCAGGGACGGGCAGTGCCTTCCCTACATGATCCCTCAAAGTCTCAAAGGAATGAGCTGGAGAGTAAAATGCCATCTCCTAGGCTGCAGCAAGACACTAGGAAGTAAGGGACCAAAAATCCCACAGTATCATCCATTGCTTTGAATAAGTGACCTCATTTTTTGTAATACCTTATTCCCCATTAGCTGAAAGGGAAATGGTGATCCCAGACCAGTTTACAATAAAGCCAATTAGATTTTCATTGCTTTTGATGAAGTAGCTTCAGTCATACCTAAAGGTCCATCAAGTGATCTTATCCAGAGCTCAGAGAACTCAAAGGGAAGCTGCTGGGTTGACTTGCGTCAGCTCTGGTTCAAGCCTTGCAAAGACAGCATTTTCTTTAGCTGTTGGGGCTGCTGTCAGGTTTTGGCCTGTCTTCAGCTCTCGCTGGCTTAATGCAGAGTTTCAGCAGGCAAGTGTGCGAGGAGGATGGCTATGGGCTGTTGTTTCCAAAGGAGAAAGTACTTGAGGGGGGAGATTTTCTCTCTTTTCTCTTTTCATTTCAAAAGACAGAAACCTCCCAAGACAGTGGCGTCTTGAATTCCTCTAAAACCAGGTTCAGACATGTATGCTTAAGTTGAATAGAACTTTTTTTTTTCTTCCAATAAGAAGCCACAGTAAGAATTTAAACTCAAATCTTTATATGTTGCTCTGTCACTAAGGAATTCCCGTGAAATAAGACAATACATCCTGAAGCATGTCGGCAATGTAGCTTGAACCCATAGAAAATGAAGAGAAAGGTACTTTTCTATATGAGCAAGGGTATCCAAATTTTGCCCTTAACAACCTGAGGTTTGAGAATAGCTTTACTGATTTATTTTAAAAGCTTTTCAGTTCACCTTTAAGCTTTGACTTAAGAAGAGAGTGATAATAGCTGCTTCTTGAACCAAAGGAGAGTATTAAATATAGGAAGTATAAGACCCAGAGGTGCAATCGTAGCTAACAGATTTCAGTAAGGCAGAAGCAGCTTTTTTATACAGCCCTACAGTTTCTGCAGTGAAATATATATATATATAGCAGAAATTTTTGCAACGCTTTGCAGTAAGAGGCAAAACATGATTGAATCTCTTTAATATTCACTGTAATAACATGAAACACGACTGAATTCTCCTGCTATCCTCCTGGATGTATTATCTCGTTCCATAGGAATTCTGCTATGACAGGGCAGCATAACAGTATCTTCATATAAAAGCGTTACTGCAGCTTCTCAGAGAAGAGTGTAAAGCAATGCCATTGGAGCCAAAGGTTTGGAATGGAAATGTCTGGAATGGCAAAGAGTTTTGGACTTGTAAGATCCTGGATGCGTCCTTTCTGGATGGTGTTCACTGTGCATGCATGTTCACATGTGAGCAAAGGCTCCGCTTACCAGGGCACTTCCTTTTGTTTTTCCTACGAGTCCATGTTGTTTGCCTCTCTTCTTCCAACATGACGAAACCACAATGTTTCTGTCTCAGAAGGACTTTCCCATCTGCAGCGCAGCTCCTCGACTCCCTTGTCTGAGGGGGTCTAGGCACTGAGTTGCTGCTGTGAGTCTCATCGTCTCCTCTGGTAAAAATGGCCTGAAATACCCATTGGTTGTTAAAAGCTTTTCATGTATTTTTCTTCAAGGTTTCCACATCCATGCTTGCATTCATAGGTGTAGCTTTGGAGTTCAATGAAACGGGTCCTTCCTAAAGTCTTACGCGAAGCAATTTCCAGGCCAAATTGTCTTGAAAACCTGGAAAGCCAGCTGAAGCCAGCAGATGGGGATGATAGCTCTCTCTGAAGTTCAGCCTATGCATCTCCAAAGCTTTGTATCAACATCTCTACGCATGGTAACAAGCAGGGACTCACACCTCAAAATTAGGATCCAAATGCAGTTTTCTCTTAGCCCAGAAAGCCTGCGGCTCCTGCCTCCTCGGTCACTGCCACGTCTGGACCATTACCCCCTTAGGTGGCACCCAGGGCAGCACTGGGCACACAAACTGCATTCAGCAGCACAAGGTCTTTGCTTGGTTCTGGCAGGAGCCCAGCTGAATTTTTAAATTCCAGGTTGAATGTGTGGTTGTCCACAGGTTTAAAAAAAAAAAAAAGCATATTTTAACTTAGAAGCAGAACCATCCCAGTCTGGAATTTGCAGTCATTGAAATGACGAACAGGGAGCTGGTGCTGACATTTTTTCCAGAACATAACCAGGTTTTTAGATGTGATGACTGGAACTAGTGCTTCTAACAAAAAGATTGTCTTGCTTTTGTATCATCTGTTTTTATTTACTACATTTGTGCTATTAATGACTGGTTAAAATGAGTACCAAAAGCCCATATAGCCTTTTTTAACTCCTGCATTTATTAACATATAAGGAAGATCAAAGAAAATCTGCAGAGCTCTAGTCATCAACAAAGTAAAATAAAGAGATCTCAGTTACCACAGGAAACGGTGAAGACAACCAATTTATTTGTAGTCTTAGGATATATGTCATGAACGTCACTATTTTGTTCATGACAAGCTGAAGGAAGGTATCTTTTTTCAGCTTGGAAATCCAGGTTAATGATGAAACTGGAGCCAAGATTAAACACTCTTCTGTCTAGAAACTGCAGTCCTTGTGTCCCTTTGCCTACACATGTATTTATAGAGTCTCAGGCATCACAGCATGTATGAATGGAGTGGTACTGTTGAGGGTGTGTTGTGCCCACTTGCTATTCATTTTCAGTAGATATGATGCTCTCTTTTGCTTGCTGACTTAACCTACAGCAATGATTTTATTGATCAGGGTTTTTTCCAGGGTTTATCCGCTTCCAGCCTCCCCGCATAAATACAGCAGAAGGAAGAGAAATGGTTTACATATGTAGAACATCCACATTTTCTTGTGAGTGCTGCACGCTCGGTGCACGTGTGCTGGCTAGGGAGTGCAAAGCTGGAACGTGGATGTCCTAACCACTCTCAGGGTAATGTGAAACAGGGGGCCTCTATAACATCCCTTTAGGATGGGGAAAAGTAGAGAAGAAAAACATTGCCTTTATTAGTTAAATGAGATGGGAGTGATTGCTTTGCTTTAAGATTGCAGCTCTGCTGCAAACTATGATTGAGAAATGCTCATCAGTATTTAGCTGCAGTGGTTGTGGGAGAATCCTGCTGTGATATTTCATTTAATGGTGCGCTGAAATTTTCCCTTCTTTTCAGATTTAATCTTTGGCATCTATTAGAGGCTATTGTTTATTTTCCTTAGACCCGGAGAAAACCTTCTTCTATGTCAGGGAAAGGTCCAAAACTAGACCTCAGTGCCCCAGCTGATATCAGGCTCTGAACTGGAGTCTCACGACATCCTTCAGGTGAACACCCCAGAGTGCAGAACTACCAATATCTAAACAGAGAGCAAGCTGCAAGGCTGTCCTCCTCTTTCATTTACCCCTCCACTCAGTCTCATTAGGCAAATGAGAAGCTTAATAAAAGCCACTTAAACTTGAGTAAAATCCTTCCTGGAATCTCTTCCGTAGACGCTGAGTCCAAGCTAAAAAACTCATCCACACTTTGTTTAGGTTGATTTAGAACTTAAAAAATTAGAATCACAAGCTGCAGCTGGGACCATTAACCTTGATAAAGTATACTCTCTTTCCATTCATTGCAATCACGTCTTCTCTCTTTATCATAAGGATCATAAAAGCATAATTTGTCTCTCTTGTTTTGACAGGTTTTATCCCACCTCCACTGATCTTTGGGGCTGGAATTGACTCCACGTGTCTGTTTTGGAGCACGTTCTGTGGCGAGCAAGGAGCCTGCGCGCTGTACGACAACGTGGTCTATAGATACCTGTATGTTAGTATTGCTATAGCCCTGAAGTCTTTTGCATTCATCTTATATACAACCACCTGGCAGTGCTTGAGGAAAAACTATAAAAGATACATCAAGAACCACGAAGGTGGTCTCAGCACTAGTGAGTTTTTTGCCTCTACTCTCACCCTAGACAATCTGGGGCGGGACTCGGTGCCCCAAAATCAATCACATAGGACAAAATTTATCTATAACCTTGAAGATCATGAGTGGTGTGAAAATATGGAGTCTGTTTTATAGTGACTGTGGAGGGGTGAACTATATTAATAATACAAGGGTCCTTTTTAATAAAAGCAAGAAGAGAGCACGAATGAAGAAACACAACTGCAAAACAACAATGGCAACACAGGAAACTTTTGTCTTTTTCTCAAAGTCAGACCCAGCCAGGATTCTTGAGAACAGCGTCTTTTAATGGGATCACTTGTGACATCCTGCGGGATGATGGAGAAAGCAGGGAGCCGCTGTGCTGGGTACCAGCCCCTTTGATGACAGTACGAGCTTCCAAGAAGGGCATCAGCAGAGGTTCATCGGAGGGCTCGGCAAATGGACAGGCTTGGGCATGAGGCATAGAGAAAGCAAGGTGATAATGGCAATGCTGGAGTAGGCATTTGCGGTTGCAAACGGGGTCCCGGGGATACGTGGAGCCCCGCAGCGTGGGCTGAAGGGTTAGCCGGTCTGGGTGCTGTTCAAACCCGCTGCACTCTGTGATGGCAAAGAGGGAGCGGTACTGGAGTTGTTCCACCAGTCACACTCTGTCACCAGCCACGAGTCCACGATAAATACCTTGAAAGCTGCTGGAAACCTTCCAGGTGGCGAGCAATGCTGTCAGAGGTATCCGAGTCCTTCCAGCCAAGGCTTATTCGCAGATCGCAGCTTTGTGGTTGTCTGTGAATAGCTGTGCTCAGATCTCTCAAACCCAGTAAAGTTCAAGACATTTGCTCACACTTGCCAAATGTGCTGTCATTTTTAAAGGGGGATGAATTCCAAATACTTGTCTGTGTAGTCCTCTAATAAGATTTTTTTTAAAATTATTTTCAAATCTATGTTAACCCTTAAATCGCTGACACTTTTCCATAGGGAGGATTTATTTATGCTAGTTTGGGGAAGGATCCTGTTTAATTCACCCAAACATAATGTGACTCAAGGGGTTTGTTTAATCCTCTGCGTTTTTTATCCATACGCCTTCATTCTAATATGCTACCAAGCCAATGAAGACCAATAATATGTTTTTAAAAAAGAGAACGAATGCACTGTGTCTCTATAAAAACAATTGTCAGTTGGAGAATTATAGATAATATGATGATTTACCTAATATAGTTTTTTCATATTCTATGTGACTCAGTGAATACATATATATATATATATATATATATGGAGGGGCTGTTTATGTTCTCTCCAGTTTTTAAAGATATATATATAATTTGCAATCTAGAAATTGTGTGGTGGATGTTTTCTTTAAAGTAAGTGTGCGTGTGTGTGTGTACAAGATGAAAGGAATACCGACCTTAATCCTGTAACCCTCGCAATTAAATTTTTTTTTTTCACCTGTGAAATTCCACTGTCTTCAGTGGAAGCCACGTGAGGAAGGTGGAATAATGTCCCCTCCTGGAGGCCACATTTTGCCCTTAGATGTGCGAATAGTGTTCCTATGGAAGGCTGGGTTATGGGAGCAGAGGCTGGTAAGCACTGAGCACCTCTGAAATTTTCATTCAGATGCTGAAGAGGCCCCCATGCAGGAGCAGATTTGGCTTTGCTTTTGCAATGCAGTCTTATCTAAGCCTGCAAAAGTCATGGGGAAGCTTTCATCTGATTTCAAGGAGCATTGAGTCAGGCTTACTTTGCATGCGTGTTTTTATTTTCCAAAACATTCCCGCTGGGAAGCAATACAAATTGGTTGTGTTTGCTGAGTTTTTCCCAGGAACCAGACCCGTTTCCAATGGACTAAATGTCAGAAGGGTTTTAAGGGTTAGCATCATAATCAAAAAGCCCCTTTTTTTGTTTGTATTTTGAAGCTGTTGTGAACTTGCAGATGTTTAGAGAAGTAACCTGGCATGTTGAACCGAATGCTGGACGTCACATCCATGCAGCTGGCAGAGGGGCTGATCTTCCCCAAGTCCTTGTCCATTGCTGGCAGCGGACACCCCAGAGTTGGCACAATTACAGAGGGCTGATAACTTGCCACTCATGTTCAACACCTTTGCTCTTATCTAGGCATTGAAACATGGGTGTGGGCTATCAAACTGCTTCCACTTGAGTGGCTTCACATGTGTGTTTGTAATTTATGCACCGCATTATATGTTCAGCAACAACAAGGGCAAAAAAAAAAAAGGGTGTATCAAATAAACTCCACTGTGCCAAATACTCAACAAATATTGTAACTGCAGATATTTGATTCTTGGTTTTCAGCCATGTTAAGAATCACTTGATTAATGAAGGAGTTTAAGGAAAAAAAATAAGTTATTAAGCTGTGCAGTGCCATTGTTATGTTGGGTGGTAAACGATGCTTTTTAGACCATTAGATTGGTTTAGTATATCCTGTCTGCTAAAATAGAGATACTGCATCCATAAAACAATGAATTTAAAAAAGGCACAGGGTGCATAACTGTCTCATAAAATATGTATAATTGTCAAGTATAAGCCTTTGAAATCATTCTGTACAGTTCTCTTCATTCTGAAAATTTATTACTTAGACTGCTGTCTTCTCAAATGTTAGCTCATAATTTTATACTATACACACACATTCAGACTTGAACACAAATGTCGCAAAATAGAACCTTTCTAAAAGCCTGATTGCTTGAAATTCTATAACCCCTTTCACAATTTCATTTTTTTTCCCCTCTGAAAGTCCAAGGTGAAGGAGAATAGCATGCTGACATGATGCAAAACAAACTCCCGGTGTTCAAGAGCTGTGGTTTGTCAGTACAGTCAAAAGTCCCCCTTGACTGGAGTTATAGAAACAGGATTCCAGGGCACTTAACGTTTTCGTTTTTATTTTTGGTTTGTTTTTTTTTTTTTTTCATTTAATCTCTTCTCTCGGTATGTGTGGGAGACGCAGTTGAATGGGGTTACTTACATTATTTTTAAACTGTAACTTAAAATTCCTGCATGATTGTTGTTTTATTTCTTTTGATAATGCGACTTTTGAAAAGCTCTCTCCCCATCCCACTCTTTTTTTTTTAAGGATGTATCAGATGCCTGCATCATGAAGGGCTTTACTGTCAGTGCTTTGGTACAGATTCAAGAACAGAGCTTTAGTTTAAAGAAAACACCCAGACCAAAACCTTCATCCATCCCAGCAGGCTCTTTGTTTTTTCTGATTTCAAAACCGCAAGCCAGTTTTGCCTGCGACCCAATTTTTGTTATAGAATAACAAATGAAGAGTCTCAGACATCCTCCCCCTTCCCAAATTGCAATATGGGCCTTCGCCTGTCAGCACTTCGCTTCCATCCCGCAACTGCCTTAACCATGCAGGCAACTTAAGAACAAGGATGGAGTTACAAAAATGCCCGTTCCTGGGAACAGAAGCAGGGGCATGGTCTGAGTCGTGCAGTCCAGATCCAATGTTGGAAATTTTTTCTCCATATTCAGGGGCATTGAAATTCAGGGTTTTGTTGAGACCTCAGTCTCAACAGAAATGTTACTTTGACATTTCCAAGCGCTGTGTTCCCTGCATGGCTGTCTGCTAAGGAATGGGATGTTGGAGATATAAACTACTTGAGATTTAGCAGTCTCTATGGGATTGTCCAGTTGCCTTGCATGACTTCAGGTTGGGGTTTCCTTTCCCTTGCACAGATACCACCTTGGCGTAGCTCCAGTGGAATCAAAAGGGGACCCCAATCTAAAATGGGTGCAGATGACACTAGAATCGGTCCCATCTGTTTCTTTGCATCCTTTTTAACAAGGGGATGCATTTTCAGAACCTTCTTTTTAAACGTGTTGAAATCATACATTTTTCTGACTTTGCCCAGCACATCTTGGATGTATAGTGGGACCGAAAAGGCCATCACTTGAATTATCTAGACAAACCTTCCTTTCTTTGGGAATTCAACTAAGACGGGCCTCACACTGCCATACCCCTGCAAGACGCACTGAAGTACTTAGTGCTGCTATTATTAATTTCAGTTGGGTCTCACCTTGCTGGGAAGGTGAAAAGGGAAAGATGCAGAGAGGAATTAGCTTCTATTAGCTGAGTTAGCTATGCTTCAGAATGCTTCAGAATTGTACTGTTGGTCTGCAGACATTTGGAAAGTGATTGGAGTATTTCCAAATGGCTGAGATGCATTGGCAGTTTTTTATTGAAAAAAAAAAAAAAAAAATTAAGGGAATTAATGAGATTTGGAGTCCCTCCTATCCCCATCAGAGTTTTATGTTCATCAAATTGCTGTTGGAGGCAATGCACTTCAGGTTTACCTTTGTGTCTCAGTCAGACACATATTTTTTCTCAGTAAACGAGGTCCTGGGAGACAGAAAGGCGACTCCATCTCGTAGCCAGCAGTTTCACTCCGCAGCAAACCCAAGACGACCTGAAGGTTACCAGCACTGTGAAGCTTTAGCCCCCGAGTCAGCCACGGCTGTTGCTGCCATGTGAGAGTTTCTCACAGCTGGGTGTGTTGGACTCGGTATTTTCTTCAGACTTGGACAATCTTGGTGCAATGTTTGTTTTATTCTTGGCAGGTGACATGAGGAATTGTCAGTATTAAAGACATATACAAATGCTTCACTGGACTGATGTGATAACGGCTTTATTCCTTTATTCACAAGGGTTTCCAGACTTATTCCCACTCTGCCTTTAGATACAGCCATGCTCATCTCTCCCCCTAATTTTGTGTGAACTATCTTTGCAGACAGAAGCAGGTTTGTTGTTGTTCTCTCTCTAGATCTAATTAATGCCTGCAAAGTTCACAGGCTTTCTGTATGTAGGGCAGAGCACCCCTGAATATAAGCAATAATACTGACCTGTTCCCATTTTGCTTTTCTTACCTAAATTTGAGTTCGCCTCTCCCAACATCCCATGCTGCTGCTGCAACTCACCCTTTTTGTTGGCAGCAACTCCAGGAGAGAGGCAGCCAAGATACAATGGGCGTCAACGTAGGCAGCACTTACTAAGATGGGTAATCCTGTGATGGGAGCCTTTGGCATGAGCCAGGCTCAACTTCAGTTATCTGATGGTTGAGATTGATCCAAGGAGGAAAGGAACAACCAGGGCATTGTGGCTGAGCCATCCGGAGTCCCTGAAAGGATTATCCACCCTTCTGTGCTCCTGGAGAGACCTACCTGCCCTACCTCCGAGACCCACGGTTTGTGGGCCTTTCTTCCAAACTGACCGTCAGCTTCCTTTCTCCAGTCACAGTTCTTCCTTCTTCCCAATGGCAAAGCACAGCTCAGCTCTACCAAGTCAGTGCGAGGTGTTCAGAGTTATTGACTGGTATTTAAATTTGCCTGGGATGCCAGCAGGTCTCACTTAGTATTACATATGCTCAAAATATTATCGTTCGTTCTGCTTTTATACACTAAATCTATTACTTCTAGGCTGCAAATGATGTTTTCTTTCATTCCATTGACATTTCTAGCCAATCTGAGTCGTAATACAATTGCTTCGC